AGTATATGTCTTCTCTCTCCTTTGCATTTCCTGACCCTGTTCCTTGAGTCTCGGTATCCAACTGGGGACCGCAAACCCCCTGCTTGATTTGGATTCGCTTGTAGTTTTTATCATACTATTTCGGAGTATATCTCTTATGATGCTCTTTCAGGGTCTTTCCGAGCCTTTCTAGGGAAACTTGATTCCATTTCCATTCTTATAAATGTCTCTGAGGCTCTCCGGAATCCCAATTGGATGTCTGCTATGATGGTAGAAATGGATGCTTTGTAGCAAAATGAAGCATGGGAGCTTGTATCTCTCCCTCCTGGTGAAAAGACTATTGGTTGCAAATGGGTATTTAGTGTTAAATATCTGGCTGATGGCTTTATTGATCAATATAAGGCCCGTTTGGTGGCCAAAGGGTTTACTCAGAATCCTGGTAAATACTTTAATGATACCTTCGCTCTAGTGGCTAAATTGACCTCAGTTCATTTGGTTGTCTCCCTGGCTGCCTCTCACACATTTGGTCTCTTGATCAACTTAATGTGAAGAATGCTTTCCTTAACAGTGATCTTCTTGAGACTATTTATATGGATCCTCCACCCGGTTTTCGGGCTGAGGGGGAGTATGCTGGAAAGGTGTGTCGATTGCGGAAGTTTTTGTATGGGTTAAAACAATATCCCAGAGCTTGGTTTAGCCGCTTCAGTGATGTAATTCTATCTATGGAGTTTGTTAGATGCCATTCGGACCATACATGTTTTATCCACCGTTCCTTCACTAGTCGATGTATCATTCTTTTTGTCTATGTTGATGATATCGTCATTATTGGCAATGACATCCTTGGGATTGCTCAAGTAAAGCTTCAATTGGCTAAAGCTTTTGATGTGAAAGACCTTGGCCAGCTCACATATTTCTTGGGAATTGAGGTTGCTAGATCTAAGCAGGGTATCTTTTTATCGCAAAGGAAGTTTGTCTTGGATCTTCTTCGAGACACATGTATGCTTGGGTGTAAACCTGCTTCCTCTCGTATGAATCCTAATATGAAGATCTTGGTTGAGTCTGGAGATCTCCTTCTGATCCCTCACAGTATCAGTGCTTGGTAGGAAGATTGATTTATCTTACTTACACCCGTCTTGATTTGGCTTTTGCTGTTAGTGTTGTGAGTCAGTTTATGCATGCTCCTCGTACAGCTCATATAGATGCAGTATATCATATTCTTCCATATCTTAAGTTCTATCCTGGACTTGGATTATTCTGTTCTTCTAGCAGGCAGGTTGGGCTATCTTGTTTCAGTGATGCAGACTATGCTGGGTCTAAGACTGACAAACGTTCCACATCTGGCTTTTGTACTTTTTATGGAGATCATCTTATATCCTAGAAAAGTAAGAAGCAACCTGTAGTTTTGAGATCTTCAGCAGAGGTTTAGTATCGTGCCATGCCCCTGGGTACTTGTGAGATTCTCTGGCTTTGATCTTTCTTAGAGGAACTAGGGCTAAGTAAAAAATAGTCCTCAGACTTGTTTTGTGATAATAAGTCAGCTATCATGCTTGCTTCAGATTTTGTTCTTCATGAGAGGACTAAACATATAGAGGTGGACGTTCATTTTATCAGAGAGAAGGTTTGTTCGGAAATTATCAAGTCGTGCTTTGTTCGGTCCTCTAATCAGTTGGCAGATGTGTTCACCAAATCTGTTGGTCTATCTTTGCTTCATTCCTCGATTAACAAGTTGGGCTTGATTGATATTTTCACTTCAGCTTAAGGGGGAGTGTTGAAATATTTTTATTATTATTATTATTTTTTATTTTTATTAGCTGTTTTCAGCCTTTTATTATATGTTTTATGTAAGACCCCTATTATCTGGGATCACATAGATAAGATCCCCGTAATCATGGGATCACATAGATAAGATCCCAATAATAATGGGATCACGTAGATTTTGGCATATTTCCTGTTTTTCTTTGATTTGGTTTCCTTTCTTTGTACCCTATTCTTGTATATAAATATAGCTCTTGGCTCTCGGTTTAAGTAAGCCAAAACCCAAAACTTCTTCTTTTGGTTGTTATTAAAATAGTTAAATCTAATTTATACACAGTATGAGAGAGAGAGAGAGAGCATTGACTAGGTGGAAGACACACCAGGTAATGCATGGAAAGTTCTTGCATCACAATTCACCAATCTCAAATTCTCACCAACTATATGCTACTCTATAAGGACCAGGGCTCTAACATAAAAATAATATAATTTGAGATTTTAAATACAGAAAGTATTTTACACCTACCAAAAACCACAAAGGTGGATTGTTAATTCTAGTCATTGCTCAAAAGTGACGAAGTTTAGTCCCATTGAGTTGCTTTTTAAGCCCTTAGAGTTGTCTCATCTTCCTATCCACTGAAGCACATATTCGCTGCTCAATGCTGGAGAGGTTGCAAAGAAACTTATTGTGGACTGGGTGATGTATTCCATATCAATCAAAGAATGGTAGGGTGGAATAGCTTTATATAGCTGTAAAAAGATTAGTGACTTGGAAGTTACTTCATGTCTATCACGTAACTCTGCTGGGTAAGTGCTTTTGGAGATCTAGGGGTGCCAGAGATGGCTTGGTTGTCAAATTATAGTGGCAAGGTTCTACGGTATGATGGACAGCGTGGAATGTCGATACCCTCAGTACAGTGTCTCTCATGCTCTCTGTTACTTCATTTACTTGTTTTTATTAGGAGTCTGAGACTTGGATTTTTGCTTTTACTTTTTTATTTTTTGGTATTTTTTCTATATTTACATATAAGTGCATTGTGCATTTACATATTTTTAATCTATTTTATGGATTCCATTGGAAACAATTTTACATATTTAAAAGGGTAAACTACAATGACCTCCCTTGAGGTTTGGTTTAATTGCAAATAAACCGAAGGTTTGTCATTTAGTTGCAAAGACCCCCCTATGTCAAATTTTGCTGTGAATTACCCTCATTATTATATTATTGGAAATGATCAAAATATCTGGATATGTCAAATGATTTTTTTACCCATTCACCTATGCCAAGAACACTAGTATTGAATCAAACCAATTGCATTAATCTTCTGTACCGAGAACGGATAGCAGAGAGCACCCATAGCCGCCACGGCCGCTGCTACCACCACCACAATCATCCCTCTCCTCTATCTTGTTCCTTCTATTCTCTATTTCTCCTTTTTCTCCAATTTCTTCTGTGTTTTCGTTCTCTCTCTCTACCCACTGCCATGACCACCACCACCACCTTTCCTCTCTCTTCTTCTCTCCACCTCCACAAACTGCTGCCAAACACCGCAGATAAACCTTTTGGAGGTAGAGTTCTTTGCTCTCTCTCTACCCACCGCCATGGCCACCTTTATAGACGCTAAACAAAGAACTAGACAAATCACAGTGGAATAAATGAACAAAAATAGGAAACGACGTTATTTAGTTGGGGAAAAAGAATCACATTCCTCTAACTGATCATCATCTTTTTCAAAATTGATAGGACCAAAAGGGAAAAAAAGGTAATCGTGTTAGATTAAACTCATAAAAAATTTGCACATTAATTTAAAGGAAAATCAAACATACATGTATAAACTAATTCCCTGTTTGGTTGCAGAGAAAATTAAGAAGATAAAACTAGAATCTTCACCTATAGTGCCTAAAACAACTAACTGCTTCAACAATTTGAGTTCTAGAATTTTTTTTTTTTCCTTCTTAAAATGAATATTAAATATATATAATTTAGGAAAAATATTATATATATATATATATGAAAATAGGATAATGCTCAAAAGCTCACTTTTTCTCACTTTTATCAAAACTAACCAGAGAATCGATTTTGTAAAGAGAAAATCTAAGTTTGCTTTTATAATGTCAAACCAAATAACCAACACAATACCAATTACCAAACATAAAGTGATTATCTCTCACTCGCTATTGACACAACACCACTGCCACCAACACGGGTTTTTAGAGAGAGAAATAGATAATTCAGATTCCGAAAAAGAGAGGGATAGAGAAGGATATTTTTGTCCTTTGGAACATTTTTTTTTGTAATTTGATGACATTATAAGGGTATTAGAATCTTTTTCTCTTAGTCAATGGCATAGTTGTTAAAGGTGCGCTTAGGCTCCAAAAAAGCCCCAAGCTCGTAAAGGCTCAGCTAGAGCGCCTCAACCTATTATAGGATCATATATCGTATTGTTTAACCTTATGAAATATTTGACAAAATTCATAAATTTATGGTTCACTACTTACATTAACTGCAATTACTGCTTGATTATGAATATATAATAATAATAATAATATATGTTTAAATATGCAATATTATATACATGCGCTTTGCTTCGATCAGGCTCGCGCCTTATACTGCGCCTTGCGCTTAGGCTCCAGAAGGCCTTTGGCGCATTAGTGCGCCTTGAGATTTTAACAACTACAATGGGTATTTTGGTCATTTCAAACCAATCTTCTGACAAAAAGTCCTGCATTTTGTACGGAGGTGAGGTCTTTGCAAAATTGGGCAAACCTTAGGGGGACGCACTACAAAAATAATGCAAACCTCAAGTTTATTTGCGATTAGGCCAAACCTCAGGGGAGATCATTGTAGTTTACCCTATTTAAAATCTAATGAAATTCATTATGTTAATCAACAGACCTCAACCTTGTTAGGGATAGCACATTGAATAGGATTAGAGACCCTTATTCCTTTTCAACTTGTCATGTGGTTTGTTGTTCACAATGTTTCCTGTGGAGGGAGCCCCATTGGGGATCGTGTAGGTGGATACCTATTAGTATGAAATCTTCAAGACAACCCAACAAAAATAATAAATAAGATAAAACGGGGATGAGACTTGGTCTGGGGCAATAGCACCAAAATAAAGAAAACTGTTCATAACAATTTCACTTTTAATTTTCTTCTTTATCACACAATTTCTTTCTTATTGCCTAATATTTCAATAACTTTCTGGATTATTAGTATTGTTGAAGTACCCCTTCTTATCAGCTGAAAGCAGGATCAATGTTTGCAGGTGGGAAGTGTGGAAAAGAAACTTTTGCTTTGTATTTATCCGCTGGTTCTTTAATCTTTCCTCTGGTTTCTTATCATTTAGGGTAAGTTCTTATTTGTGATACGTGATGTTATTAGTAGCTCAGCATTAAGGGCTTCAGTTTTCTACTAGATATATATTAGTGAGTTTAACTTGTACACTGAACTCTAAAAATTGGCTAATTGGTACCCAAACTTCTATTTTTCAATTTCTAGTGGTTGATAATTCTAACTCTCTTCAACCCCCCAGCCCGGCACCTTTTGTCTTCTTTCTTCTTTTCCCTCTTCTATTGGAGCAAAGGTTGACACGTTGAATTGTTTTCTTCCACCTAACGCATGCATGGAACAGGTAGTAAGGGTCCTAAGAGCCAATCCATTGCTTCTAACAGCACTGGCTGCAATTACTTTGGCGTGCTTTGTTCATCCAGCCTTTGGTCTATCAATATTGCTCCTATCTCATGTTTTCTGCTGTCACAATGCACTCTCCAGGTATTATTCCAATGTAATACTCCATTTCTCACTTTTGTTACAGTGTAATAGAACTTGATCTGTGGGATTTTATCTCATTGTCAATTTGTATGCATCTTTTGCTGTTTTGGAATGAATGTTTTTTTAGGCTAAATAATGTTCCATACATCTTTTACCACCAAGCATTAGCTTAATATTTGAGTGACATCTCTTCATAACCTCGGGAAAAGGTGGCTGTGCTCTGATTAGTATGTCTATGTTTGATATGGTTTCTATGGTTCAAATATTGTACTAGAAGTGTAATGAGTTGTGTTCACAGTTATATATACGAGAGGGAGAGAGAAGTTTCAGACTTGTCTATATTCATTATACTTGAAAAACCTAATAAAGTGTACAAGGCTTATATAAAGAGTACAAGTCTTACTTAACTACACAAGGGCCCCTATCAACTTTCTGTAATTACATAATGGCCCAACACTTATATATATACATATATATAACATTCTAACACTCCCCCTCAAGCTGGAGAATATATATTGAATAATCCCAGCTTGGAACAGATAGTTCTTAATCGGTTATGACCCAATGCTTTGGTAAACATATCAGCTAATTGATCTTCAGACTTCACAAATGGAGTAGAGATGCTCCCACTTAATATTTTATCTCGAATGAAGTGACAATCAACTTCAATATGTTTGGTCCTCTCATGAAACACAGGATTTGATGCAATGTGAACTGCTGCTTGATTATCACAGAACAATGGAGTAGGAGCCTCAACTATCAACCCAAGTTCTTTTAGAAAATGTTGTATCCATGTCAACTCACTAGTGGTATGTGCCGTTGCCCTATATTCAGCTTCAGCACTAGATCGAGTTACCACCGTCTACTTTTTACTTTGCCATGTAACAAGATTTCCTCCTACAAATGTGCAGTATCCTGTAGTAGATCTCCTATCTGAAGGAGAACCAGCCCAGTCAGCATCTGTAAAACCTTCCACCCTGAGATGACCATTTGATTTATATAGTAACCCTAAACCTGGAGCTTTCTTGAGATATCGTATAATCCGAATAACAGCAATCCAATGTGGCATTCTAGGAACTCCCATGAACTGACTTACAACACTGACTGCATATGAAATATCAGATCGAGTGATAGTGAGATAAATTAATTTCCCAACAAGGCGACGAAACCTGCCCGGGTCATTAAATAGATCACCCTCATCAGGTACAAGTTTTGTATTTGAATCCATAGGAGTATCAACCGGACGACCACCCAACATACCTGTTTCTTCTAATAAATCCAACACATATTTGTGTTGGGATAAACTTATACCCTTCTTGGATCTAGCAACTTCAATGCCCAAGAAATACCTAAGTTTACCCAAGTCTTTAGTGTGGAATTGATATTGCAGAAACAACTTCAACTTAGCAATGCCTTCAGAATCATCACCTGTGATCACAATATCATCTATATACACCACAAGAAATATGAAGCCAGCTTTAGTGCGCTGGTGAAACACCGAATGGTCGGTCTGACATCTCTTAAGACCAAATTTTAACGCCACCTCAGAGAATTTTCCAAACCAAGCCCGTGGAGATTGTTTCAATCCATACAGTGCCTTTTTAAGGCGACAAACAGTGTGAAGATACTCCCCCTGAGCAACAAACCCAGGTGGTTGCTCCATATAAACCTCTTCTACTAAGTCAACATGCAAAAAGGCATTGTTAACGTCTAACTGAAACAGAGGCCAATGTCTATTAGCAGCAAGAGAAATCAAAACACGAATAGAAATCTTAGCAACGGGAGAAAATGTCTCGTCATAGTCAATACCATAAGTTTGGGTATAACCTTTGGCAACAAGACGGGCTTTTAAACGTTCAACAGACCCATCTGGAAGATACTTCACAGTATATACCCAGCGACAACCAACAGGTTTGACATCTGGTGGTAATGGAACAAGATCCCACGTGCCATTCTTATGCAAAGCATCCATTTCATCTTGCATTGCTTTCCTCCAGCCCAAATTAGATGACGCATCCTGCACAGTCTTAGGAACGAATGTAGTAGACAACTGAGAGGAAAAACAGGAGAATGATGGCGATAAGGAATTATAAGAGACATAATGAGCAATGGGATGGTTAGTAACACATGAGCGAGGAGCTTTACGAAGTGCAATAGGCAAGGAATCAGACACAGTGGAAGGCGCTGGATCCAAGGACTTTGAAGACGATGGAGGAGGCACGACAACCGATGGCTTTGGTCTTCGAGTGTACACCTGTAACGGGGCAGATGAAGGAACAAGAGATCTAGGTTGAAGAGAGAGTGAGGGAAGAGGAATGGCAGAAGGAGGCGACTCAAGAGTGATATCAAGAAGTGAATCAGTATCTGAAAAATATGGGATGGACTCAGAAAACGTTACATCTACGCTAATAAAGTACCGTTGAGAAACAGGACTATAGTAGCGATAACCTTTATGAGAGCGAGAGTAGCCAAGAAATACATGCTTTGTGGCACGTGAGTCTAATTTATCAAAACCAGGACCAAGATTGTGGACATAACATACACATCCAAAAACCCTAGGAGGAAGAGAAAACAAGGGAGAATCAGGAAATAAAATAGAATGTGGAGATTTGCCATCTAATACAGATGACGGCGTACGGTTAATAAGATGACAGGCAGTAAGAACAGCATCACCCCAAAACCGTTTAGGCATACGCATATGAAACAAAAGAGCACGAGTTACTTCTAAGAGATGTCGATTCTTACGTTCTGCAACGCCATTTTGTTGTGGAGTATTAACACATGAATTTTGATGAATAATTCCTTTATCACTAAGATATGTCTCAAATGGAGTTGAAGAATATTCCTTGGCATTATCAGAACGTAGATTACGAATTGGACATCCAAACTGAGTTTTGATTTCTTTGCGAAATTTTTGAAAAATTAAAAATAACTCAAAACGATCTTCATTAAAAACAACCAAGTCAGGCGAGAATAATCATCCACAAATGTCACAAAATAATGAAATTTATTGATTGAAGAATGTTTTATTGGACCCCATACATCTGAATGAACCAAATGAAAAGGACTAGAGACACGATTATTAACCCTAGACTTGAAAGATACGCGATGGTGCTTACTAAGTTGACAAACTTCACATGACAAGAATTTCAAATGACTAAGACTAGGAACTTGACGCTTCAAAACTTGAAGTGACGGGTGACCAAGGCGACAGTGCCACTGGAATGGAGACTGAGAAGACTGAAGAGCCTGAGAAGACTGAAGAGCCACAGGAGAAGATTCGAAATCAAAATAATATAAGCCACCAGCTTCATGACCCGTACCAATCGTCTTCTTCGTCTTGAGATCCTGAAACACACAAGAAGTAGGATCAAATGTAACAGAGCACTGGAGAGATTTAGTAAGCTTACTGATAGACATTAAATTAAAGGGAAACTGCGGAACATGTAAAACAGACGAGAGAGACAATGAATCACTAAGTGGAGTTGTCCCCAAACCTAAAACTTGAGTGGATGAACCATTAGCAAGAGTAACACTTTGAGAAGGATGTACAGAATGAAAATCAGATAGAAGAGAAGAACATCCAATCATATGATCAGATGCTCCAGTGTCTATGATCCAAGGACTGCGAGTGGAAGACAATAGACATGTGTGTGCAGTACCTGACTGGGCAAAAGTAGCCGTGGAAGATGAATTAGATGCTTGCTTATAAGACAAAAACTGGGTATACTCATCCTATGGAACAGGAACTGTATCTGATTCAACTACGTTGTGTGATCCAGAAGCAACATCATTCGGAGAAGAGGAAACTTGATTGGCATAATTAGATGGTTTCCCATGAAGATCCCAACAAAAGTTCACAGTATGATTAGAAAGACCACAATGGGTACACTTTCTGAATTCCCTGCCACGGCCACGTCCTCCACGTGAATCACGACCACCACGGGTGGAGCGTCCCCCACGACCTCCACGGTAAGTATTATGGTCACCCTTTGAAACTACCAATGCTGAACGCTCACCACTCTGTCCAGTATTCAAATTTGAGGTATCACTTGTAAGTGTAGCAAGCTGAAGTCTAGAAAACACCTCAGCAAGAGATGGAAGTGTTGGACCACTCATAATCTGTGCACGAAAAGGCTCATATGCTGATGATAAACCAGTAAGAAAACGGACAACATTAAAGTCTGCACGCTGTTGTTGCATACTGCGAACATCACCTGTAATGGGCTGATACATATTCAGCTCTTCACAGACTCCCATAACTTTAGAATAATACTCTTCTATGCTTTGAGTACCTTGTTCAAGATTGAAGTACTGTTTACAGAGCTCATAAACACGAGTGATATTACCTGTCCCAGAATACAATTGCTCCAATCTGTCCCATATCTCCTTGACAGTATCCAAATAAAGTAGAGTTGAACTAATTTGGGGTTCAATACTGTTTATCATCATAGAGATGATCTGAGCATCTTCCTTTTCCCATGCATCAAAGGAGGCATCAGCTGCCTTGGATTTCTCTTTAGTCAAATGAGAACCAAGACCTCTGCCTTTGAGGAAAATGGCAACAGATTTAGCCCACAATATGTAATTCTTCTCATTCAGTTTAACTGAAGTCATGGGAGAATGAAGACTGTTCGTGGGTGACAGTAAATCTGAACTAGATGCCATGTTGAATCCAGCAAAACAGAGAAGAAAAACGCCGGAGAGAAAAAAAACAGATTCTGTATTCTAGCCGAACCTGGAAAACCGGGTCGGATCTGGTCAACGGACCTGGTCAAACGGGTTGGACTGAACTGGGCTATCCAGGTTTAGCAAACCAGGGTTAGAAGTAGCCATAACCGTGTAGCCAAACAGAGGTCTTCTTCTTCACACCTTCATGGACGCCGGGGAATAACGCGGCGGCAACGACGGCGACCCAATCACAAGGAACGGCCGAACCAATAAGCAGCGATCGCTGCAACTTCCAGCCAACAGAGATGAACCTCACCTCTGCGAATTAAGATTGCAGAGGTCGATGAGCTCGCTGGCAACCAAAGAGAAGCTGCCGGCGACGACGAACACGGCAGAGACGACGACGAGCAACTCCCAAATCTGACGACGATAAACAAGCCGCTGCTGATGACGACAAACAAGGAACCGATGGTAAAGATCACTAATACCACAACTGCAATTCGAATCTTAGACAAGAAGAACCCAATTACAGATTCTCACACCCATGATCGTACGCTCTGATACCATGTTCACAGTTATATATATGAGAGGGAGAGAGAAGTTTCAGACTTGTCTATATTCATTATACTTGAAAAACCTAATAAAGTGTACAAGGCTTATATAAAGAGTACAAGTCTTACTTAACTACACAAGGGCCCCTATCAACTTTCTGTAATTACATAATGGCCCAACACTTATATATATATATATATATAACATTCTAACAAGTTGCTTATGTATGATTGAAACAAAGGCAACCTATATCCTGCCTAGCATATCTAATGAATTCCTAATGCCAATGAAATTCAAGATTATTTTTAATATTGTCTTTCAAAATAGAATAACATTTATGTTGTACGGAGCCTTAGGTAAGGAAATTAAGAATTTCTACAACCAAAAAGTGGCTATTAGGGCTTTGATGTTAAGGAATTACTGTGGAAAATATGAGATTAGGGTTTGAGGGTGGATTTAGATGAACTAGATGATGTTTAAGGTTGATTTGGGTCTGAAAATGAATAATACAGGTTGGAAGAATTTTGAGGTGGTAAGGGAAATTAAGGATTATGGGGCTAATATATTGTCTTACTTATATAAAAAAAATATATTGGCTGGTAAATTAGGGTTAGGGTCTATTATTAGTGATTGAGGTCTTAGTGAGTAAAATAGGTTATAACTAAATAAAGACCAGCAAGTTACACATTTTACATTAGAAGGAGACTACTCCGGGAAAGTTCATCGCTTATAAACAAATGTTATGTTCTGAAGTTCCTTGCTGATAATCAAATATTATGTTTTGGAGTTCCTCGCTTATTAACAAATAGTATGTTCTTGTCATTTGTTTTAGGGTAATTGAATGTTTGATTAGATCACTAGATTTTATTTCTGTTCAGAATATTAGATGACTTGATGTCAAATTATTAATGTCCAGCAGATCTTTTGTTGGTTATCATCTTCCTGTCAGATTAAAACTACTATTTTTTCCTGGTCTGTCAAGTTGTATTTCAGTTTATAAACGTTTTGATCTATTGAGATTTTGATTGATCACCACCTACTCAATTCCAAACCCTCGAGTCTAGATTCTGATTAGTTCTAGGTGTATGCAACCTTAATTTTTTTTTTTTTTTTTTTTGTTACCTCAATTTACAAAACGATCAAGGAAATGGTCAAATATATAAGAGAGAGCTTCTGTGGTTCTTTTACCCTTGCTTTTTTCTTTTTTGAATCTGGAAGCTGAATTTGTTTTCAAATTATTAGCTTTATCATTGTTGTTTTGCATTCCTGCAAAAGAATTTTATTTTATACGTGTACATAAATTGTACATATGGAAGAAATGCTGCTTTTCGGTTTACCATATTCATGTACTTTGAAATTTCATTATTTTATTCATATCATTGACTCTGTGATACCCGCTGAGAGCTTAGCTTGGGTGGTATCTCCTCCAAATTCTAAGTAGAATTGCATTTAGTAAGTAATTCAACATTTTGTTGATGTTCCCTTCAATACTCTATGCAAAAGTGATATAAGTATTTTTATTTAAGTTATTATTATTCACAAGGTCAGTTAGATGTTGGAACATCAGGTCAGCTAGATACTCCAAAGCAACAAATATGACTGTCATTATGAGCTTCTCTCTAATGGAACTCTGGGACTTGATTGGCTTCCCAATTCCTTGCTATTGTGGCACCATCAGATGTTTCTGAAATGGATATTTTCTACAAACTTATCCCAAAAAGAAAAAAGAAAAAAAGAAGAAGTGGATACTTATCTACAAGCCTACATCAACCCACCATGATTTGAAGTGAATACTCTTTTACCTATTTTTTTTCCTTCATTTTTCACTCCCAGTGAGTGTCCTTTTAGGATTCAAGAATATCCCACTACTTAAACTTTGAACTCCATTAGCCTTGCTTCTTGAGGAAAACAAGAATTAAAATGAGGGAGTTTCACACAAGCATATGAAATGCCGTTATTTGCTGCATTCATTTGCCAATTCTCTCTCTCTCTCTCCCCCTTGCTGTTTCTCTATGCATTTGTTATATTGAAAACTTCTTCAGCAAGTGAACTTATGTAAGATAAGACTGTAGGTTCTGAAGTCACTCCTTGTTTTTGTAACAGTGTTTTGACGGCTTCCTTTCGCAGTCATGCCCGAAACAAGGAGTTAACTGATTCCAGAAGAAATTGCAATGATGGGTCTGAGCAAATTGCATACAGACTTGGTGGTGGATTCAACCAACATTTTCCTGCAGATGTGAATAATTCCAGCAGTCCAGATGCAGCAAGAAGCTTTGGTGAAACCCAATTAGAGATCTTCCACCACCGGCATGGTTTGCTGATCTTACATCTTCTCGCAGTACTCCTATTTGCCCCCTCATTTGTGGCTTGGTTGCAGGTATAAATGGTATCACTACTTGTTGCAATTTAAGCACTGGATTATTTGCATTTTCATCATTTTGGAATGTGTCTGACAGAATTTGATCATTTACTGTGCTGGGAGTTCCTTGTATCCATTGGTTAAATCTGGAACAACTCTTCGAAAAATAACTGGAATCATTGAATAGCCAATATAATTAGTGTCAGGTTCCATATTTATGTATGCTCTTGGAATATAAAAGAAATACAAAATATACATATTACAAGTATAATTAAGTTTGTTTAATTTAAATATGTTTAGAGTTTGAGTTTGTTATTTCTTATATTCGTTAAGGGTTCTATTGTATTTTTATCCCTTCAATATATAAATAAGTGAGAGGGGTGTGGTAAACCTAATACGCTCTCATCCTTCACAGAATTCCTCTATTCTTCTTCCTTACTACTACTACAAACACAAGATCCTTCAACTTTAAGTAAATAAAAAGAAATGGAAAGAAATAATGTACATTAAGATGCTGAAGCCCTTGTAACACACAACGATGAACGTGCTAACATGACATACAAAAGGGGCGGTTTTGTGCTTTTACATAATGCATTTTGCTTTCTCGCTGGCATGCTTATAGGACTTTCTTCATGATTGCAGAGAATAGGTATGGGTTACAGCTTCCCATCATCCTGGGATTCAGCTCTTTGCATTGGGGTCATCCTCCATGGTATATGCGATTCAAAGCCTGAGTTTGATGTCTTCTCATTTTCCTTTCCGGTTATCCCGGGCAGGGAAGTAAGACTGAGTTTCGCGTATCTGGTTGCTGGATACTATTCCTACCTCCAAGGCCTGGCGTTAGCTCCTTACAGAATGTTTTATGCCACGGCTACCATTGGGGTTATTTCATTCGCTTTCAGGATCATACAGAAAAGGAATAGGGAGAAAGGAGAGGCACATTTTCGCAGGAGAAAACATTCTCACAGATACTGACACCTTCTTCCAAACAGCATGCATACTAGAATTTTTAATGGAGTTAGATGCTTAGAAGGTCCTGTATGTACAATTTTCTGTAATTTGAAATAGTGAGATGTACCCCACGGATATGGCTTCAGTTGCCACAGTTTTGCAATTTGAAATTTTCCACTCGTACAGCCCCATTTTCAAAGGTGAATTTATATATATGTGTGTGTGTGTGTGTGTAGACTGTAGAGAGAGATTTTGTGAATTTATCTATGTTTTGTGCGTTTTTACGAATGAAAGAAACATTCAGTTTTGCCAATTATATATTTCCTAGACATCTGTATTGAAATTTGGGCTTGATGATTATGTAGTACCCAATGTAACTGGGAAGATATGCAACAGGAATTGAGGATTTTGAATTCCTTGACAATTTTTCATATTTGGCTGGCTTTACTCAGTTTTGTTGAGCTCGGGATTATCCGTTTTTATTTGTTAATATTATAAACAGGGTGGCTTGAGATGACTTGAGAATTAAAATGTAATCTAAAAAAAATATGATAATTGCTTCAGGTTTAAAACAACCTATTTACATACTCACTTCACTTTGTTGGAAGTCTTTTAAACATAACAAGAAGCAACAAAAGAAGTTGGAACAGTCTTTTAAACATAACACAAGCAACAAAAGAACAAGACAGAATGAACAAGAGAGGGAGCCTAGTTTCGCAGCAGCAGCAACAAAAACAATTTATGGCATAGCATTGCATAGCATAGCAGCTCGAGGTGTCTCTCTACTCACGTAGTGTGTATATATATATATATATATATATATCCTACATAGAATAGATAGTGACCACCTAGGGCATGGACATTGTAGATTCTTCATTGCTTAGGACTCTACAATTTCTCTCCGTGTTGGTTGGTTCACTCATGGAGATCGACAACAACAATACAAGTACAGTAGTTGTTTCACTTCGTAAGTTTCAGCTTAAAATGGTCCACCACCACCACCCATGTCATATATAAATCTCCCATTGCCTGCTAGATTAAAGGTACCACCGGGGCGTTATATATATATATATATATATATATCCTAAGATATATGGTGCGCATGGCAGGCACCTTAGGAGTTTGATAAAAATGGCAAGTACTTAAATATTAATAGAGTTGTGATTGTGAATAAAAAGCTAGGTCATTCAATAATGAATGGCGCATGCATATTGAGTTGAGTTTAGTTATTGTTGTTGGCTAATGACAATGAATAGCCTCAATATTGGAAGCGTCTTGAGGGAGAGTTCATGTGGTGTTGGGGGTGGGGTCCAAGCCTTCTTCAACTTGGCCGGCCACCACAGATGGCTCGGACTGATCAGCAGCGGCAGCAGCAGCAGCAGCTGCCTATAGTCTTCTTGGCATAGGTTGTCCCCAGCTTAATTCGGTACTAATAATAATAATAAGTCGAATTAATGCTCAAATTTGTGCAATCTATATATATATATATATGCCTTTTTTTTCCAAGTGGTATGTATGAAGCATCAACAACTTAATCTTGCTCTGTTTTAATTAGTACCGTCCTTGTGGATGATATTAAGATGTTTACAAGGAGCTAGCTAGCTACAGAGAAATTTACCATCTATTTTGGTGTTTAATTGTTTGTTCATTTGCTCTTTTAGAGCTTTTCTTTGATTCTGCCCGTCCTCCTTGTTTTGGGTTGGTTGTGCTCTTATATATTTTTCTCTATGAATTTTAATTGCTCAAAATTCTTACCAATTACAGTGAGTGAGAGCTTAAATTATAGGCAAGCAACGTTCCTTAGTTTTTTTTTTTTATTATTTATTATTATTGAATTTGATTCATTACAACAAAAGGGTAATTAATGACCTTCTTTGCTCCATCCTGGTGAAAAATATAAATAAAACAAGAAACTAATCACACAGAATTAATAAATAATAATAACAGCTTATGGATACTTAATGACAAACTAAACTTGTGCCAATTTCAAATAGTTAGAGGAATTTCTGGCAATTTGCTCTAATCTCAAATCAGCAACATATGATTTAAAGAAAGGAAAAGCAAAATGAGAAATTTTGAAAAGTTAAATAAAATTTTACTACTGATTAATTAATTATAATTTTGAACAAATATAATCAAGAATCATTTGATCTTCTCTCATCGTTAGAATGAATTTAAATCTTTTAGCATGCCATGTATTTAAGGTAAAATATTTATATTTAATTTTTATAATGGCAACAAACTCAAATACTGACTCCGCTTATGGCTTCAAATTTCTGTCTTTTTACTTTGTAAGGTTAGAAACAACCACAAAACTGATATATTTAAACTCGAATCAAATTAGTTTTAATTGGTCAATTTTTATTTATTTATTTTTTTTTTTTTTAATTTATTTTTTTTATCATATATAAAAAGAGCAGTGCTACCTTGCTTTTTCTCAACCTTCCAATTAAATATCAGTCAAATCGCAATGTCATCATTCATCTTATAAATATATATATATATATCACCATAACTCATGTATAGAGATAAAAGATTGGATTAACCCTAAATTGAGATAAGAACGAGATACACAATTAACCCTAGATTGAGAGATGGATTAGACAAAACAATTTGCAAGATTAGTTTTTTGGGGATACTTTTTTTTTTTTTTCCCTTCTCCCATTAATTCTTTCCAAAAATTAATAATCACTTTCTTATTATTTGACTTAATTATTTAACGAGTTCTTTCCAAAAATAAAAATCAATTTCAATTGTGATAAGATCATCAAATTCCTCGTGATATTTAGCATTTGTCATATAAAAAATTAGGAAAATGATAAGAGAACTGAATCAAACAACCGAATAAAAGATAACTCCTACCTCTTTCCTTCTCTCTCCTCTCGATTTTTCTTTTGTATTCAATCTTATCTTTGATTTTGGTTTTTGTCTCTCTTTTGATTTCATAAAATTGAAGACAAAATAAAAAAAATTAAATTTCTTCATGCTTTGCAAATCCAGAATCACAAAACCAAAACAGAACAAAAAAGAAAAAGAAAAAGAAAATAAAAGCTACAACTGTTATTTCTCTCATTCAGATTTTGTATCCATAAAAATCAAATAGAAACTTTGAGAAGATTCATCCGTTTCTCTTCTCTGGATTAATGACAACTCTTGTAGATATTTACTTACCTAAAAAAAAAAAATTTCTGCATAGTTTTTATCTGGAATTGGAAAGATTTATTCTTGGAAGATTTATGAATAGAGAAAAGTAGGTAATCTTGAAAAAGGAGCTGAGGATAAAGAATTTTGGATCTTGTCTCTAGAATACTTCCCATATGTGTATCTCAAGGGAGGAGATGTATAAAAAGAATGGGTGAAGAACCAGACACAAAGAGAGAAAGAACGGAAGAGAGAGAAAAAGGAAAAACTGGGAAAGAAAATATTGATGATAAGGAGTTAGGTAATAAATTATTTAACGTGGACAAAGCCACGTAAGATTCGATTAGGTAATAAATTATTTGATGTGGACAAAGCCACGTAAGATTCGATGTTTATTTCGGTAGAAACGTTCGGTTTCTCTATCACTGCTCAAAACAGCATTTTTCTATTCATGTGATTGTGACACACCTCTCTCTTGTTTAGGGTCGTGGCAAAGATTGTTCTTAAAATCTTGGACTTGCTATGTTGCACCAATAAGTGCCTAGATTTTATGAGATTTGGAAGTAGCAAAAATAAATAAAGATTTTATGAGATTTGGAAGTAGCAAAAATAAATAAATAAATAAATAAAATCCCACAGTTGGTTTTATGACTCATTTCAAGATACAAAACTGAGAGAGTAATAAAAATTATATATGATTCGTTACAACAAAGATTCAAAAGTGAGTGATGCAAGAAAGTTAGCTGAAGGTTTCGGAATCCGTCTAGACCGTCAAAAGGTTAAATGGGCAGATTGATAAGTTTTTATTAGATAATTTCGACGAATTCATTTTTGACCCGGAAAGAGCTCAGTATTATTAGAACGACCCAACTCGTAAATATTTTGGAACCCGTTTCGACTAATCCTTAAAACATAAGGATTCGATTTGATTTATTTTTTGATATTTGGTAATTTTTAGTAATTGTGTTTCTTTTTTTATTTTTACATAATATTGAGAGTAACTTTAGTTTTGAGCAGTTTCCTTGGAAAAGTTTGGTTTTAAGCAGTTTCCTTGGAGCTCCTAGTTTCTTTATGTTTTTAAGTTTGGTTTTGAGCAGTTTCCTTGGAACTCTTAGTTTCTTTATGTTTTTAGGAATTCCTTTATGTTGTATGTACTACAACATATATATTATCATTCATTTAATTATTAATATATTATCATATTCTTAATTTTTTTTCTTCTTTTTTGTAAATTTAAGGTACCCATTCTTTGTGAACAATCTATCACGTTTCCACTTACTTTTATTCATAAAGTGTAATACGTTTGAGAGTCTCATCGTCCTGTAAGAATATTTGGGCTTTCATTGATTAATGTTATTAAAACCCGGATTGATGATTGAGACCATTTATATGATTACCGGATACCCTATTGAGGTGATTATAAATTATTGGGTTATGGTATACCTTAGTCACATGTAATCATGTGTTATGAGATATGGATAAGGATATAAATATATATTAGCATTATATACAATTACCTATAATGCGTTAAACATAACTCACGTGGAAGGGATTTTATCAGATACTCTTTATATATATTGTTTGGTTTAGATACTCTTTATATATATTATTTGGTTCCCACTCTCACACATACTCTTAATTCAAATGATTGTATGAAAAAATTAATTTACAAAAGAAAGAAACTTTCATTTTTTTAGAAAATCTATGTAATTAAGTGAAGAAGAAGATAGACAACTAACATCGGTATAATAGCAAAGTAAAATATAAAATGCACAACTTTTGCGAGAAAGTAAATTTTCGTGTGTTTTTTGCACGAAAAATTTTGAGGAAAATTTTCATATGCAAGAATCCTACTTTCCTCAAAACTTTCACTTTCCCTTTTAAGGCCCTGTTTGGAGGAGCTTTTAGTTTCTAAAATTACTTCCACTTAATCGGCTTTGAAGAATGCATTTTGATGAAAGATATTTGGAAAAATTATATTTTGGTGGCCAAAATTAAACATAATTACTCTATAGTGACTTTAAAGTCAAGAAAAGGTGAATAGTGACCAATGTTGAAACTTAATTGATATTAAGTGACCATTTAATGGTTTATTACCTAAATAGCCTTCTTATAATATATTATTATGTAAGTAGACAAATTTATCCTCTACATTAACCTATATAAACACTTATTAA